ACCGCACAGACCGCAAGCGCTGTTGGTCGATGTGAAGCTGTCCGGATTGGCATTGGTGCCGTACGGCTCGGCTGCATTGGCATCCACGTAGAATGTGCCCAGTTTGGAGGCAGCATAGCCCATGTAGGCGGTGTCGTCGCTTCGGCAATTGGCGCCAGTCCAGAGATCGACATAGTTGTCGCAGCGTCTGCCCACAAAGTTTTCCGTATTCGTGGGATACACGGACTCCACGTAGTAGTCGACGGCGCGCTGATGCGAGCAGGAGAGGACATCGAGACCACTGCAGCCGGACTTGATGGGAGCCAGGCCCTGGACAAAGAAGCTGCCATCAGCTGCTGAGTCGGCGGTGCCTGCTACGCCCGGATTGGAGGAGATGGTGTCCACATAGACGGCATCGCCCCTGCGCACGCCCGGCAGCTCGTTGCCATCGTAGAAGCACGGATTGGCCGGATCCAAGCCAGTGACGCGCGACAATATTGCGCCGCCCGTCAGCAGCTTATAGTTGCGTCCCGTGGAGCCCGCGATCTGGGCGCCCAGGCTGTGGCCCACGATGTGCACGTGCTTGGTCACATAGTCGCGGTCCAGCTGCAGCAGCGCCTGGGCCACGTAGAGCCCGATGGCCTCCGTGTTCAGGGCCGACCAGGTGTAGAGGGTCTTGACATAGTTCGCTGCATCCAGCACCTGTTTAACGAATCAAGGAAATATGTCAAGGAGCTAATCTACTGCGAACTAGTTCCATTGAAAGTTCAATCTAGTTCAATTTGAACTCACCACAAAGTTGGTGTCATTGCGACAGGCGAATGCCTTGGCCACTGGGCCGCTGTTGGAGCTATCGATGGTGGAGCCCCAGCCGGTGACGTAGATAACCGTCGGCCTATCCTGATAGAAGCCCGGCGTATCCCACAGCTCGCTGGCCCGGGTCAGCGGAATGCTGACATTGGTACAGGCATCGGGACGCAGCTGGAAGCTCATCAGCGACATATCTGGCACGATCTTGGGCTGCACCAGACCCAGATCCATAATGGTGCTGCAGATGTACGTCAGTGCAGAGAGGCTGATGTCGATCGGCAGTCCAAAGATGATGCCACGCAACTGATCCTGCAGCTGGTCGCGCTGGAGGCGCAGCACGGCCGTATTCCTCCTGCCGCCTCTCGTCGAGTTCTGGCCTAGGGCCACGTCCACCACGCCCACCACAACAAGTGCCGTTATCAACAGGGCTAAGGGCTTCATGCTGTTGCTCTAATTGGCAACGAGGCACGCCCTTATATACTGCCCATCAGACGGCCAGAGGCACGTGTTAATATTGATCAAAGCCGCACAATGACGATATTTGGTCTTCTGCATGAGAATTTCGCTTAATCAGCTGCTCCAGTTACAATGGACACAATAGAACCCGGCCACGTGAGCAACTGTTTAATAACCAGGCCAGCAAAAATCGAATTGTCTAAGCGTTTGCCCAGCGCTCAGCGCTCAGCGATCAGCGATCAGTTCATTCCCAGCTGGCCCATTGCAGCAATAGCTCGTTGTGGGTGCTCCCGACTTGGCCAAGCAAAAAACAACAACAGAATAACAAAAGCAACAACAACAGTTAGAAAAGTGAAGAAAACAAAAATTGAAATATTTGCGTTAGGAAATGCTGCCGACAAAATGCGAATTAATAACCAAAAGTTGTTACTGTTGTTGCTCCGCTGTGGGTGTACGCGCAGCAATCACTGCCAGCAACAACAGCAGCAACACGAACAGCAACAACAACAACAGCAGCAACAACAGCAGCAACAACTTATTACATTGGTAATTTGTGTGCGCAAAAGTTTTGTGGGGCGTCCCACTGCCCCGCTTGACTTGTTGCTGCTGTTGTTGTTGCTGTTGCTGCTGTTGTTGTTGCTGAGACTATTTGTTGCTGCTACATCGCGACGGCTGGCACGCCAACAGCAGTAGCAGCAACTGCGCCCGCTTCTTGTTGTAACAGGCAACGTGTCAAAAGATTTGATGAATAAAAGTGTAAACTAATTATAACACCGCAAGTCGATTGCACTTGCATTCGCCATGCCTCGAAAGAGTGGCCAGCGCTTATTTTGATTAGCCATATATACATACATATACATATATGATATACATATATAAACATATATGAAAACAGAAAACAAACTTAATTAGCTAAAATATTTTAAACAATTTTTATTGCCTGTATCATAATGCATACTTATGTTCGTATATCATATTTAATTATCATGATGAATGCTATAAAAATAAATGGCATTTTTTATAGAATATTTAAGAATACAAGTGGACACATATATATGTTTGTGTATATTAATTATAGAGTATAAATATTTGTAGAATGTTAAAGAACACAAATGAACATGTGTATATATATACATCAATAAAAAAATTGCTTATATTAAAAACAGAGCTCGTATTCTTCCTGAAAGATTAAGCTAGCTAGCATATCTGCAGTATTTGAATACTTTAAGAAATCTTTATTTCAAATACAAATTCATAATCAAATATATGTAAATGAAACTCAATAGAGGAATTAGTATACAGATGCAACAATAGGTTTGTGTTTAAACTTTATACATGTTCAATAAATAGGGAGACTCAGCTAGCGAAGATAAGAAGATAAGATAAGACAGACCAGATATATGGCAGACTTGAACCGTTTGATCATATAGTAGGATAGCCCATGGCTGAAGCTCTCGCATAAACTAAATATTCATTGCTGCATAATTTGATACAAAGATCTTATTAGAAATTGCACTAAAAAATCAGAGTTTCGAAATGTATAAAATATATGTATATATGCAATATGAGCAACATCAAAATTCTGTGATACAAAAA